GTATAGGCAAGAAGTGGAAGGTCACATTGCGGGGAGAAATTATTCTCCTCACAGCATGGTAATGAAGGCCTTTTTTATCCAGCAGTGCCAGTTAGGTTCTTGTCCTCTGTTCTCAGCTCCACTGCCGGCCTGGACATTAACGTTGTTTATTTACGCCACCCTCAGCGTCAGTGTTGTTTATAACAATCATGACTTGTACCACTTGGCTTTAAGAGTAGGTGCGATGACATACCAATATTACATCACAAAATATTTTACTTCCCTCGGGCATTGTTCCATGTAAGATCCATATCTGTTGTGTTGCTTTTGTCACAACGGGTAAGAAGCTTCGGAATGAAAAACTGTGCAGTAATCCACTATAATCCCAGTTTTATTTACCTGCTAAAGAAAAAATGTTTTAACCACATAAAATAATTTGTTCACAACAATACAAATGTTTAAATTTATACATGCCTGGGTGAATTAAATTTGCAGGCTAACTAGTTTACAGGTGTGGGTTTAAATGTCAGGTATAAAAGCTAAGTCATTGCAAGGTTTCTGACTCACCGTGAGGATCCGCCGTCAATTACAAAATAATGTAAATGAGAAGCCAAGAAGGTTTCTGACTCACCGTGAGGATCGGCCGTCAATTACAAAATAATGTAAATGAATTGTAGGTTGTACATGTGGTAAGAGCAGGAGTAACATTCCATTTCTGCTCAGGCTGTAACATTATGAATGATTTCCTTCAGGTTCTTTGTGTCAGAGAACCTGAAGGTATCGATCCTGCCCTCAGTGGACGATCACACTCACATTTATTCTCTGCAGCCCCGGCGTCAGATTAATCGTCCAAAAGACGTTTTGAGAAAGAAATATTAAGCGAACAAAGCCGCTTTGTCAACATTGGTTTAAAAAAGACTGCTTCAGCTAAAACAAACTAAAGATCGACATCTTTGTCCCAGCTTTTATCTACAGTATTTTCCATACTATATGTTTCACCTGAGTATTTTGTGTACATTTGATTTGTGTATTTAAGGAACACCCAATGGTTTGGTTATGTCATTTTTCAGTGATGCAATAGTAGTGGTCAGTTGTTGCATTGTAGCCGGTGCCCTCTTGTGGCCAAATATTTAATTATTTATTGACACAGGGTATAGCTTTAATATGTAGGACACTTACGGAATACAAGTCTACTGAAAATGCACGACTTGCAGTCGGGATAACTCGGTGATCCCCACACTTGATTACTATGGAGATGTATGAAAGTCAAGTGGAAAGCCCTGGTCAAATACAGTCAGAGCTTTTAATTTTCCCCACACAGGTGGCACCTTTTAGCAACTCATTCTGGATAAACTAATTAAATATCCTTTCCTAAGCTTGAAGCTTCAGTTAATGGATGACGCTGTGCCCAGCACACCGTCCTCCATCAGAGTAACCATATGTTTGTACACAGCCATTAATCTGAAGCTGGATGTTGACTGTTCTCATTTTGTCCTGTCCTACGCAACTTGTTATCCCCTGACTGTCCTCTCACTGTTGTAAGAACGGCTACTGAGCGCCACACAGATGGCTGTCAGCCAGGTGAGAGCAGCAGAAGGACCCTGTCGACCCCTACACCTAACCGCGCACACAAACGCGTACACTCCAGTCCAGTGTCTAACACACCATGACAATGCCGACACACACACACAGCCGAGGTCGTCAGAGAGCATCCTGGTCAATGACAAATTGCGGCCCGAGACAACAGGCCCCGGTGTAGCTCTCCTGAGAGACTCCTGAGATCTCTCACAGGGTGACCCAGTTCCATCACGTCTCCCCTTCTCCTTCTTGCCTCCACCACTCTCCATTCTCAGCTGCAAATCCTCCTGCTTTCACAGGAACCATTGCGTTGGTTTTAATGTTCACCTGTCAGCAGGAGATCCACACTGCGCTCTAAATATATTCCCTTCACACGGCTGATTTTAAGGTGTCCACTTCAAACTGCTGCCACATATTACTTAGTAAAAAGACTGCAGTCTACTAGCTCTTCTTCCTCAGGGTTCCGCGTGAAGAACCAACACAGTCTCTTCCTCTTTTTTCCACCCCGGCCAGCGTGAACATTTTACTGAAGAGTTAAAAGGGAAATAAGATTATTGTTTTGATTCTCAATTTGCTCTATTTTTTTTAATCTGCATTTACAGCAAATAGTTTAACTGCATTGCAGCATTACAAGTATTGTGCATTAATATTAATGTCTGCCCATTTTGCCCAGCATGGCAGGGAGCCTGTCAATCTCCTGCTGGAGGAGCTCCTTACACAGACAAACACCTGCCCAGCTCTCCTGGACATGGTTTTGACACTTCAAGGTGCCGGTCTGCCCCTATAGTGAGGAGACAGGTACTGTATTCTTAGCCAGTTGTTCAGCCTATCGGATGTGTCTCCACCCAGTCCAGATGCACAGATTCTATATATTGCACCAATAGGATCAAAAGACATGGGAACATTTAGAACAAAGCCCTCGTGTGGGACAAATGTCCTTGATTCTATTAGTAGTTCAGCATTTTTTTTCTTTTAAAAAAATGCTAGAAAAGTTAAATATTAACACAGGTTGTAATTCCAGCCAACACATTGTGTAAAGTCTTAAATAATTACTTGGTTCCAGTCTTAACACTTACCCACCGGCAGCACCATGGATGGAATTCCCTGAAAGTTGTCTCATGAGACGGTTCATTTTCAATATTTAGACAAATGAGTCTTTGTCACTGAGATGAATGTGATACTGGGCAGAATGGGTGTGGCAACACTATCATTTAAGCAGTGCTGCTCTGCAATAAGTGGTTGAACATGGCTGCAAGCAATGCAGGTGTGTGTGTGTGTGTGTGTGTGTGAACCGCTGTGTGATGAGAGGTAGAGAGAGAGAGGGAGTGAGCGAGAGAGCCAGGGAGGCTGGGATCAGTGTGCTGCGCTGTTCATCACTGCAGCACTACACCAGCTCTGAATCTCTGTCCGTACGGAGGTGCTGACTGCCTGCCCCCCCACCGCACCCCCCTCGCCTCTCTGCCCTTCTTTCTCAGCTTTCCTCAAGAGAGCGTGCTAATGATGCGCTCTTTCATTACTCCACAAGGACAGGGGAAGCTGTAGGTTTAGCAAAAAAAAAAAAAAACCTATGGGGAACCAGCGATCCTGATTAACTTCAGTCTGAAAGCTTGCCAGCACCTGGGTTCTCACTGGTCGGTTTCTCCCCCCTTTCATAGTTGGACTGTGTTCATTGATTGTGTGAGCGGTGGCTCCTCTGTCCTTGTGCTAAAGCCCACGTTGTCTGTGTGGCGTTTAAACCTGTATTCACCTCGTGTACGTACGCGAGGGGTGCGAATGCACGCAAAGTCGATGTGAATCGGGGCGTCATGGTTTGAGTCAAAGTTCACAGATGTGGCTGGTGCGGTTGTCCAGGGTTAATCGAGGCCAGAAACCTTCCCTCCAGTGCTGCAGCTTTATGTCTGTTGAAGGTACATTGTGTACCTGACTGCAGACCAGAGAGGAAGAGATCAGAGACGCTGCTCCCACTTTGGTAGTGTCTCATTTCCTATACCATATTTATATGGGGGAGGGATGTTAAGGATAATTGATAAAAATGGTCCATTATCCTCAGCATCCCTGTGTGTGTGTTCCTGGTATAGCTGTACTTGTGGGGACACTGTGTCCTTGTGATGACGTTTTGCAGGTCTCCTCTGAGTGAAAGGTCATTGTGGGTTTCAAGGTTCAGTCTGAAGTTGGTATTAGAATCAGGGTCAGATTAGAGAATCAGGGTGAGAATTTCGATGATGGTGTATATTTGTAGTAGTTAAGGTTAGGTTGTTGGGCTAAGGAATGCATAATGTTTCTGCCATGTGCTCACAACACGAAAAAACAGTGTGTGTATGGGTGTGTGTGTGTAAGAAGAGGGCAGGAGGAGGTAAGTGCCAGGGCCAAAGAAATAATGGATGAGTTCAAAAGCTAAACTGGAGCTGCCATGCAAGGATAATCTACCTGACTCCAAGAGATTAATATTAACGCATGTGTGTGTGCGTGCGTATCCTTGTGTCTGTGTCTGTGTGTGTTTAATTATCCGTCTGCGTATCCTTGTGTCTGTGTGTGTTTAATTATCCGTCAGTTAGACTTTATTGTGGAAGTGTGTTTTCTTCAGGAATTGTAATAAGCCATGAATGATAATTCAGCGTGTGTGTGTGATATAAAAACATTAGTCCCTTTTTGTCAGTGACAGTCCGGGGAGTAACAGTCCTCCTCCCTCTTTATCATCACTCTGACACCGTGACTCTTTTTCAACCTGGCTTTTGTGCAGCTGCCTTTGCAGCGACGTCTCTCCGTAACACACACATCCTCCAAATGACCTTCAGTCACGCCGATGTGACCGGTTCTCCTCGCCACATCAGACCGTTTCTGTTAAACACTGCTGTTTTCAACAACAGATTCTTCTCCTTCCCTCCTCCGTTTCTTCTGCAGGAGATGACCGGGAGTAAATGCAATCTCACGTAATTACCATTGTGCCTCACATATATAGGCGCCTTTTACGCATCATCAAGGGAAAAGTGGCTCTCCTCTTCTACTGAGGAGATTGTGGAGGAATGGTTACTCTAAAATAACACAGAACGCTTGCTCCCCTCAAAGCTTGATGTAAATAACACTGTGCTTGGGAAAGCAACTCCTCCCTAAGTTGATTTAGTATTCTTGTCCCTGTGTGTGAAAATTGGATGTGCTCTGCTGTAAAGCGGAGAAGAAAAAAAGTGAATAGAAATATGCTGTGTATCAGCAGTACAGACAATGTTGTACTTTCGCTTTCAGCAGATTGTGTCTGACCCCTGGCTGTAATGCACTGCACAAAACATTCATTCACATAACATGAAATGAGGTGTTTTACATTACAAATGTAGCTTTAATCATTTCTCAAATATTGTCTTGACTTTCTCCACAGGCTCTTTCTCGTGCACAAACCCAGGTTCATTCTTAACACAGCGTTTTCTTCTCCTTTCTCTTCTCCCTCGCAGTGCCATGCGTGTGTTGCTCTCCAAACTGCCCAGGCCTTGGATCGTAGATGAGAAAAAAGACGACGGTTACACTGCACTGCACCTGGCTGCCCTCAACAACCATGTGGAGGTAGCTGAGCTGCTGGTGCACCAGGTAACAACTCATTTTGATTCATGCAACTGCTTTGAATGGATGTTCGAGCGCTCAGTTTGACAAATAAACGCCGTCGTTTCTGCTGGGTGTTCGTATCCAGCTCGAAGCACAGCTCTGCCGTTCAGAGCGTCCACTGCACTCCCTGCAGCCAGCAAGCTGTAGACTGGTTGAAGCTGCTATTACTGCTTTTTTTTCTTCTTCTTCTTTTTTATTGAATCCATACGATTCAGATGGCCTCCAGGGGTAATCTTTAGTGCTGCTGGACCTTCATATCTTCCTCTTCTTGCAATCATTGGTCTTTGCTCTTTTTTCCCTTCTGAGATTGCAGGTTTTACTCCCCGTAGAGTAACACATACAGGAGTTAAGAAAAAAAAAAGTCACCTGACCAAGCAGGAATTGGGTTACTTCTGATATGGTGCGAGTCAAGAATGTTGCTGCAGCATACTACGCATGAACATTCGCTGTGCAAGCTACCTTTTCGGGGAGGGGGGTTCCAACGTCGCTGCAATGGGCTGGTTCGCAGTGATGGCTCAGCCTTTTATTCACAAATTGCACCACACCACAAGGTGCACTGCAGATTCCCTGCCAGCCAGTCAGTCTTGTTACTTGGGGGGATTTCATTTACTGCTGGATCGCAATGCTTATCTTCGCCCCACATCTTCTCCACTGAGCGATTTGCAATTGGAAATGACAATCACACGGGTTAAACTTAGTCGGTGGCGACTGTTAAAAGAAAAGAAAGAGTTTCTTCCCAGCAGATAAACCCAAGAAAACTGTTGTTTTTGTTTAGGTTTTAAAATTTGCATGAATATATTTTTTTCACATTTCTCACATGGTGTTTCTCTAATTATTTTTCAGTGTTTGTGACTAACGTTTTGTTCTTACCTCCTAGGGCAATGCCAGCTTGGACATCCAGAATGTCAACCAGCAGACAGCGTTACACCTGGCAGTGGAACGTCAACACACCCAGATAGTCAGGGTCAGAATCAATATTTTTCCTACTGTTCCAATTCCAACACAAGCTGAAGGTGTTTTTTTTTAGCTGTCTTCATTTTTTTTTCTGACATCAGAACTGTTGATTTAGGTACACAGATACTTATAATTTATTTAAAATATGGCTGGGAGTAAGTAAGAGTGAATCTTCTCTAAAGCTGCATCTTCACACACGTGGTATGGAACAGGATTGAGATTGCTACGTTGCCATCTTGTGGACTCCAGTACAATTGCACTCTATAATTAGTCCACGCAAGGCAGAGGCCAATAGACTGTGGTGTTTGCGCCACAGAATTTTAATGAATCATTTTTTGGGAGTAGTCTTTTGACTGTGGCTACAGCCTCTGTGTGACGTCTTTTTATTGTTTTTTAAACAATCTATTTAACAGCTGTTGGTGCGAGCAGAGGCCAAACTTGACGTGCAGGACAAAGATGGGGACACGCCGCTGCACGAGGCACTACGTCACCACACATTGTCCCAGTTGAGGCAACTGCAAGATATGCAGGATGTCAGCAAAGTGGAGCCGTGGGAACCCTCCAAAAACACGGTAGGGAACCGACTAATGTGGTTCGCAGGAGCTGATGGAGTCAGGGACAGATGTACAGGTCTGATTTTTAGGGGAGGAATTTTTTTTTGTTTTTTTTTTCTCCCTCGGTGAATTTAACTGAAGAACACTGCAGTGTAGAAAGTAATTTTATGTTTGAATTAGGGCAATTAAGTTTAAATTTAAAATCAAATAAATGACACAGCTCATCCACAAATGTCTCTATAATATTAAAACACTCCCTGTTATTTTTTTATCACAGTAACTCTAGTGTGAAGGGTTCAGTGGACATTTGGCTGACCTCTGCTGGTGGTTTGATGCCTGAATTTTTCTATGAAGTTTGTATGTTCTCCCTGTGTGGGGGGAGATGTTCTTCTCACAGTGTAGAAGGTCAACTGAGGTCAACTGTTCACTGTAACCTGACTGTAGGTTTGAATGCTTGTTCATCTGTATATTTGTTGCCCAATGACAGTAAGGTAGAACGTGGCTGGATGAGTTATATCATGGCTGCCTGTATAATGAGACACTTCGGGCCCTTGTTACGGTGCTGTTTGGCTTGTTTACCTCACAGACCCGTACGACCACTTGAGTGTGTCTGGTCGCCCAGTGTTTGACAAATGATGACTGATCACAGTCAGACAGGAAGCTCAGTGCTCCTCCGTCCTCCGTCACCTGAATCACAGGACAGCTTAGTCTGCAGCAGCTCATCATTTAGACAGAACACCAGACGCAGCCGGGGAGCAGTCAACCAGCTCACTGTCACCTCCTGACCAGACTGAATGAGTTTTCTCCCTGCAGAGGCCGTGGTGTCAGACCTGAATCATCTCCGTGATAACAGAACATTACTAATACCTACAGGGACCAGTTTAGGGCTAGAACTCGGTGCTGCAGCAATGAGCTTACCATACCTGTCACCTCCCTCCCTCATCTCTCTTCTCTGCTCCTCTGTATTCTCCTCCTCTCATCAATCCCCTCGCCTGCCCTCTCTGGTTCTGCAGCAGAGGAGCGGAACAGACAGACAGCGGCCTAATTGTGATATGTGCAGTTGGGTTGTTCTGCCGAACTCCCACTCCTGCAAAATGAGAATTGAATTAGTCGGCCCGGTGGTTCCATCACAGAGATACAAAAACTACTGGTTGAAGACAATTATACACGGAAAGCCTGAAAGAAAAGGGTGTGGGGGGGGGGGGGGGGGGGGGGGCTGGGCA